AAAAATTATTACATTGGCCAGTTTTTCTGTGATATAAAAAGATAAGTGAAATACAACAAAATTGTGAAGATTTTGGTAAATAAAATAAAATAAGAGGTACATAGGCAATTTGTGATTTCAGTAATTTCCTTTAATGTCCAAAACAGAAATGAAGGTTGCTATGCCCTCGGATAACAAGTCATATTATTGCTGATGAGATACAGATTAATTTTCTAATCACATGCAAAAACAGCACTTCAGCAACAGAAAAGTCCACAGTATTTCAAAAACCACAATTGGAATTCCATCAGCAAATCATCTGACTTTTTAAAATGCATTCTGAAGGATTATGGATGGGACAGGGTGAACGTCATGTGATGGGACTTTTTTCAATTATTCTCAAAGTGTCTCAGAAACAGAGTATTTCTAAATGTTATGAGGTCCTAAAGATATTATGGTATAAGCTATTTTGAGGGCAACTACAATGGATTGAGAAACCAGACACACACATCTAATCAGGGCTGTGGTGACGCAATGGATTAAACTTTTGTGCTGCTGAACTGCTGACCTGAAAGTTGGAAGCTTATATCTGGTAATGGGATGAGCTTCTGCTGTTAGCCCAGCTCCTGCCAACCTAACAGTTTGAAAACATGCAAATGGGAGTAGAGTAGATAAATAGGTACCGCTTCAGTGGGAAAGGCATAAGATGTTCCAAGCAGTCATGGTGGTCACATGACCAGGAATGACAACACAGGCTCCTTGTCTTGGAAATGGAGAAAACCACCTCCCGACCAGCCAAGCACCTTTTCCAAAGCCGGAAATGAAAGGAGAAGCCTCTACCTTTGTTTGTGTTTGTGAATTGCATTGTACCAAGGCATTAAATGATTGCCAATATCTGTTTACACTGTAATCCACAGTCCTCATGGGGAAAAGGGCAGAATATAAATATATTATTATTATTATTATTATTATTATTATTATTATTATTATTATTGATTTTTCTTAGGCAGTCCAGTGCTAAATAAATCACAATCAGGATGAAATGTAAAATGTAAATATGAATAAAATTATTATCAACTTTACATCACTTACAATAAAAAAATCCATTTGTATGTTTTCAAGATGCCATTGTCTACTTTATATCTATAAAGCAGCAATGAGAAATTGAAAAATTGGGTCTCTAGTGTAGAATATATGGTGAAAAAAAAGAAGAAAAAAGACATACTTCCTCCCCTGCAGCTTTATAAAAAAAAATGAAAAACACATTTTTGTTTTTGAACAATAAAAAACCCTGTTTTGTATGACATAAAATTATCAATCTGAGAAAAGTGACTACAAAAAAAGAAAGGCACCGTTTGCGTGTTCTGCAGAATGCGGCATGACGAATACACTGGTATACATGCGGGACCCTGAAGGCACTTGTATTGCTTCCAAGTACATGAATGTATACCAGCAGAACCTGGCTTCCTAATCTGGATACTATTTGAATGAAAGATGGTGGGATAAAGGCAGCAACAGAGAAAGCTTTATGCCTGTTTACTCAATGAAACCCCCTCTCTTTTTCAGAAACCGATCACTGGCATCTTTCATGCTTAATTGCTTCCAAAAATGCAGAGCATTCGTTCTAGAATTGAGAGGCAAACTACAGCAGCACCTTTATATCCCGGCTCCATTAGGCTCTGTTGTGTCACTCGTAAGCTACAAGAAGGGCTGAACAACCCTTCACTGTTGAGCAAAGTGATTAATATCACCGTTCCAGCTTTCAATTAATCCTTTCAGTGCTGGTGGAAAATGCATATGTCACAACTGCCTTTTCATGTTCATTCACTAGACAACCAAGCTATTTCTGCATAGATTCTTTCATAAAACCTCCACCTGAAAAGTGAATCAGATTTATACAGTGCAATAATAAGTAGCATGGGGGGAAATCAATCAATCAGTCACTCAGTCAGTCTGTTGGCACAAAGGTCTTTTTACTATTTTGCTGTCTCTGATGGCTACCTCTGTTGACTCCTTATTTATTTATTCATTTATTTGTTTCCCACCATTCTCTCTGCATGGGACACAAGATGATTTGCAAGCCCTGCCCATTTTTGGACACTTATCTGAAGCTCACAACAAATGGTGTACTGGATGATATAGCTAGTGGTAAGCAAGCACATACAGTGTTCCCTCACTTATTGCGGGTGTTACATTCCAGGACCACCCGCTATAAGTAAAAATCAGCGAAGTAGGGACACTATACAGTATATGTACTGCCTCAGCGCGCACAAGGCATAGGACCACCCCCTCCTAGGAGTGGCTCCTCCCCCTCCTCTCTCCCCCTCTCACTCAATCCCTTTGCCTTTTCTTTCCTCCCCTCTTTTCCCCTCCATGTCGCACCTCAGGACAACAAACAAAGAAAGGAGAATCACATTTTTACTCAGCATTCACACTACATATACATGCATCCATCACCATGAATCAAAATATTACCATATCCTTTTCTCCCTCCTTGGAGAAGCACACCTGTTCAGGCCAGACCCTGCTTCCCTGCAGCCTGCCAACGCACAGTTCCAAAACTTCCATAACTTCAAAACATCAAAATGCATCCTTTCCCAAAGCACAATGCCAAGGATCAGATCGCTGTTTTCCATACAGCAGAACTGGACTCCCTGCACAAAATCTAAGTGCATGTCTTCCTCTTCCCTTGAGAAAGAAGGCCAAAGTGACCAGACTGGTCCCGTGCAAATCTGCCACTATCCTTGGTATGTTATCTCTTTCCTTCCCATGGAGCAGAGCATAGTGGGTGGAACAGACTCCTGCATTCTGCCACAATTTGAGAATTATTAGATTGAGTCTTTTATAGGAATATTCTGCTGATGTATTCCCAAAGTTGTAAATGAATGATAGATGTCATCCATTCTGGCATATGTTGACTCCAACTCTGTTTCCTGGCCAGATGTTGATGCTTCTTGATTGGTGTTGATAAACGCAAGGTTTGTGTTGACTTCCTTCTTAACATTGTAAAACATTTCCCTTATTACTGTCCCAGTTCTTATTAGTGTTTACTTTTCAGTTCTTATTAGCAACTTTTAATTACAGTCCCAGCAAGCAGGTTTAGTCATTGCAGACCTTGGTCTTATAAAATTAGTGTCTCCAAAATTATTAGCTCCACTCATTAATTCTTCCATTCAACTCCTTTCATTCCCACATATCAAATCCACATTTATCAAATAGGTATATTAAATTTGCATGGCATATATTTCTTCACATATAAGGAGTGTGTTTTATTAGTGGAGGCTATTATTTCAGCTGTGGCCTTTCCTGAACAAGGATAGCTTGGCCACGGTTCATTTATCCTTTGGTAACCTCCTGGTTAGATCAGAGCTGAGTAGACTTCAGAAATATGTAAGCTGCACATAGCTTGAAGACACTTTGCAAGCTGCAACAAATACAATGTGTATCTGTAAGATTTCAGACTAGGGCAACATGCTCACCAGTGTAAAAAGAACTTCATTAACTGCCAATTCATTTATGAGCCAAATGCAATGTGCTGCCTTAAATGTCTTAGGTCAACAGTAGCTAAAGGGACATGTATCCTATAGAAGTGGATGTTGTTATTATTTCTCTTGAAGTTCTGTCTGACTTAATGGCAATCCTAAAATTACCCTATCACAGGATTTTTCTTGACAGAATTAGTTCAGGGGGGTTTGCACTTGCCTTTCTCTGAGGCCCCTTCCACACAGCTGAATAAAATCCCACATTATCTGTTTTGAACTGGGATATATGGCAGTGTGGACTCAGATAACCCTTTTCAAGGTGGATATTGTGGATCATCTGCCTTGATATTCTGTGTTATATGGCTGTGTGGAAGGGCCCTGTGTGTGAGAGAGTGTGACTGCTCTTAGGACATCTTCATATGGCCCTTTTGCGTCATGCCGTAAAGGGAAGACACGTGGGATAGTTTGTGTCACCCTGCGCCCTTCCCCCATCATATGCTGGTGAAAGGATAGGGTGAGTTGGCACCCTGTCCTCATCAGATGGGAGAAAGGGTAGCAAAGTATGGCAATGCGAGTAGGACTGCCACCCTTTCCCCCCATCATACCATGAAAAGGGGAGGGTAGTTCCCCTTTTGGGCGTGGGAAGCTCCATCGTAGCTTCCCAAAACCTACTTTCCTCTCATTGTGGTGGAGGAAGCGCCTTTCCTTGCTTCCCCTCCATATTGGGAGGAATGTGGGTGCACAGATTCCATTCAATCAGCAAAACAGGGCTATTTTGTCCCATGTGAAGAGATCCTAAAGATCACCAGTGCGTTTCCATAGCCAAGTAGGGATTCAAAACCCTGTCTCCCAGTGTCCTAGTCCAACAATCAAACCAATACTCCACAGTGGCTCTCATATCAACCATCAAAATTTTTCATGATCATCTGTCAAAGCCCCTTTCAAGTCTGACACCAGCCCTCACATGTTGTGTTTGTACTGGAGGGCCTGGATTCTCCTCCTTGCCTTCCCACTGCATCAACATTAATGGGTGTCCTTGGGGCAGGAGAAAGAATACCTCCCACAGTGTCTTTGTGGGCTCTGGGCATATTCACTCTGGATGTACAGAAAACCTTGCCACTTTTGGGTTGAGTAGAGCTCTAAGCTTCATGCATCTCAAGTTTAAATATTTTTACGAGGAGATTGAAATGATCCTTGGCATTTGTTTGATTTTGCCTGTGTCTCTGTTGTTTCTTACTACAAATGTTGCTAGCAAAGCCAAGTGCATTGCAAAATGGCCTGTCAAACCATAAATATGGCTAAGAAAATCATGTTTGCCTAGCTGACTGATCAGCTATTAAGTTGGCTTATTGCTGTAGACTAGGGAATGTTGACCTTAGAAACAGCAGATTAATAAAGGGCCTCACCTCTAACAAGACTGATTGGTACCAAGAAACCTGAGGCAGTGGACAGCTGAGTATCAAGAAGGGTTGGAGTCCCTTATGCCAGATCCAGGGCTCTTGGCACCTGACTTTAACAAGCATTTTATTGTTGTTACAGATGTTTTTGACAGGCATTGAAACACTCTTGAGAGTGCAGATGACATCTTATATTCTGTTCCACTACAAGAAGCTTTCCAATTGAAACATCCCACAGAAGGAGTGATATGGCATCATGTCATTCCAAGAATATGTTTTCCATAGTCAGCATGTGTTTGAAGTTCCACTTGTGTAGCAGATGCCCTCTCAGGCAGAGAACTGGTGGGTGATTAAGAAAGTTCCTACATGTATGCTAACTGAGAGTAAGACCAGGCTGTGGCGCAGCTAGTTAGTAGCCAGCTGCATTAAATCACTACTGACCAAAAAGTCATGAGTCCGAAGCCAGCCCAGGATGGAGTAAGCTCCAAACAATTAATAGTCTATCTTGCTGTTGACCTATGCAGTCCGAAAGACAATTGCATCTGTCAAGTAGGAAATTTAGGTACCGTTTTATGCGGGGAGGATAATTTAACTAATTTATGACACCATAAAACCTTCTAGCAGTGTACATAAGAATGAGGAAGTACTCCATCAAAGAACCCGGTGTCACAAACGGATGATGAAGTGGCAGAAAAAGCTGTAATGTTAAATTGCCTCTGTGTCTGTCTATATATGTTGTATGTCTAAATGGCATACAACATATATAGGGGACATGAGGGAAGCCTCCCACAAGGATGGTAAAACATCAAACCCTCCCCCAAGAAAAACCCACTCCAGGTTATTCTGCACAATACAGTGTTGTGAATGGGGGCATTCTGAAGGAAAATTATTCCCCGGTGGCAAGGATGAATGAAAGCAAAATCTGATTTTTGTATGCCTAATCAGTAACAGCCATACCAAAGATTTCCTTGAATGAATAAAATAAAAAGGGCACCTTGATTCTGCCATTTTTTTGTATGAAGCTCAAAGTCTCTTTTGTAGGCAGAGCATAAGGCAGTCTTTATATTGTTGGGGCTGGAGACAAATTCAGGAGTATTGGTAAGGGAAAACAAATCAGCAGCAGTCAATTTGAACATCTTTTCACAAGCCTCCTTAGCAAATCAAAATGTCTTTTTCCAAGTGCATGATTCCACTGCTGTGTCACTAAATTTGGAATTCTTAATACCATGAAATGTAAGGTCATAAAGCCCTAATGTTAAACTATCTGAAATCCTGTATCTGCGCACATGAGCCTGCCCAAGACTTGTGACTTCCAGGGGACAGTGTTTACTCTGTGTCACCAGCCTCCTGGGTTTGTGTGGTAGTAGGGATGTGGGACAGCCTTTTTGGAGAATGCACCTAAGCAATGGAACTTCCTCAAGAAGCGTCATTTTTTGTTCTCTGATCTCTTTTTGCCAACAGGAAAAGTTCTTCCTATTTAGAGAGGCCTTCATCTTTAACTAGTTGTGGTAGAAGACTGCATTATGACTCTTCTAATATAGGAGCCCCGGTGGTGCAATGAGTTAAACCCTTGTGCCGGCTGGATTGCTGATCTGAAGGTCAGAAGTTTGAATCCAGGGAGCAGGATGAGCTCCCGTCTGTCAGTTCCAGCTTCCCATGCAGTGACATGAGAGAAGCCTCCCACAGGATGGTCAAACATCTGGGCATTCCCTGGGCAACGTCCTTGCAGACAATATATTATCTCACACCAGAAGTGACTTGCAGTTTTTCAAGATTCTCCTGACATAAAAAAAATCTCTAATATGTAATAAGAGTGCCATGTGTTCAGTTGTTTTAAAATAAATGTCTTAAAACAAATGTTTTAAAATAAAATATCGTTTAATAGAATTATCTCATGCTTTTTAAAAGTTTAAATCTTCTATTGTTTTACCCATTTTATTTTAATGTGTGATGAAAGACAAATATAAATCTGTTGAGAATTAGTGTTTCCCAGAGTGTTCGTTCTTTTGGAAAAATACGAATACTTACACATTGTTAGTAATTAACCTTACTTTAGCAAAGAGTACATCAGTAATGTAGAATTAATGCACTTTGACACCACTTTCCTTGCCATGAAATGGGATCCTGGAGCTCTAGTTTGGCACTCTTTAGCAGAGGAAGCTAAATCATAGAATCACAGATGAAAGAGACCACATGGGCCATCAGGTCCAACCACTTGCCATGCAAAGTACCCCTGACAGATGGCCAAGGCTGTAGCCGGGAGGGTGTATGTGTGTAAGGGGTTCAACCCCACCCCCCCAATTGAATTTTTTCAATTGGTTTACTCATAAATTTTATCTGGTTAATCAAATCCCCATTCAAAGTCTATGAGAAGCAAACATTAAATTAATTTAATTAACTCTATATAAAATATAGAATGAGCCATACTATTTACATTATTTTGTGTTATGGAACTACTCTTAATTATTCACTCATTTTTTTCAACCCCCTCCCCCAATTTTTTTTCTGGCTATGGCACTGCAGATGGCCACCCAGCTTCTGTTTAAAAGCTCTCTGCACCTTTGATATCTCTCTTAGGACCTCCTCACATGGAATTCCTTGATGCAGGGGATGGCGGGGGGCGGGGGTGGCAGACCAGTAGGGTAGCGGAACAAATCCAGCGACCAACAGTACCCACTTGCCCATCACATGCTCAAAAGGGTACCTTTCTGGTGTTCTCCCATGCTGTCCCCATGATTTTCTGCCTGAACACGGGTAGTCTCCCATGTTCAGATTTCTCCTTCTTAGAACACTTTGCCAACTCAGCCAGCATGGAACCCCACTGGAAGTAGATGTGCGTCATGTGATAAGATCTGGTCATCTCTGTGCTGTCTGCATGGGCAAAGTGTTCTATGACAGGGAATTTTCCCCATGTGGCAAGGTCTTAAAATGGTGGTGCCCATAATTGGACACAGTATTCCAGGTGTGGTCTGACCAAAGCAGAATAGAGGGGCACCATGACTTCCCTAGATCTAGACACTATACTCGTTTTGATGCTGCCAAAAATCCCATTGGCTTTTGAAGCTGCTGCATCACATTGTTAGCTCATGTTTAACTTGTTGTCCACTAAGACTCCAAGATCTCTTTCACATGGACTGTTGTTGAGCCAGGAGTTGCATTTCATTTTTTCTGCGTAGTATCCCACATTTCTCCTTGTTGAAAGTAATTTTGTTAGTTTTGGTCCAGCTCTCTAATAAGTCATTTTGAATTCTGATCTTTTCTTCTGGACTATTAGCTATCCCTCCAAATTTGGTGTCATCTTCAAGATTCATAAGCACACCCTCTAAACCAGTGGTTCTCAACCTGTGGGTCCCCAGATGTTTGGGCCTTCAACTCCCAGAAATCCCAACAGCTGGTAAACTGGCATTGAGCAGCATTGGGTCCAGGACCGAACCCTGTGCCACTCCACTAGTCACTTCTTTCTAGGATTAAGAGGAACCCTTGGTGAGCACCCTTTGGGTTCAGTCACTTAACCAATTACAAATCCACCTAACAGTAGTATTGTCTAGCTCACATTTTACTAGTAAAGACCTTGTAAAACTAGAGCTCCCGTGATTCCATAGCATTGAGCCAAGGCAGTGAAAATGGTGTCAAACTGCATCAATTCTACATTGTAGATGCATCCAAAGTAGCAGAGGAAGCATGCCTCAATTACCCTGTGTGGCTTTCCTGAGTTCTTTGGCTGACCTAAGGAACAAACAAGGTAGGTTACAAATTTAAAGGTTTACAAAAGCTTTTCATTTACATACACATAGAAAAACTACAGCGGAGGAAATGAATAGGAGGAGGCCAAGCATCCCTACTTCGTGGATTTTCACTTATTGTGGGTGGTCCTGAAATGGATGCTATTTGATGTTATTATTGCTGTATGTATTTTATTTTTATTTATTGTAATTGTGGGGCTTGGCCTCATGTTAGCCAGCCCAAGTCCCTGTTGGGGAGATGGTGGCGGGGTATAAATACAGTATTTTTGTTGTTGTTGTTGTTGTTGTTGTTGTTATTATTATTATGGCTAGGAACCTGGAGCAGGAACCTGGAGCAGTTTTGAGGTTGATTAGTGTTAATCCACACTGGGTTTATTTATTTTGGTGGTGTAAACAAACTCTGAGAAATACATGCAAGGTTTCCTCTGGGTTTTTGTTTTTGGTCATTCTTTCTCATTAAGGCTGCCATCTTTAATTTCATTTACTACACCTCATGGGCAGAGGTTAATTTTCTGACACCAGTAGACCTGTAAATACAATGGCGTCACTGATTAAAACTTTTGTTCATTCAACAATTGGTTAAATAGTTTGAATAATGATGATGATGAGGGAAGATTTGAAGTACTGTACTTGCTGTCCTGCTCAGTACTCTTCCTCTTTCACCTTCTCTAAAGGAAAAAAGAACGAGTACACAAACATACCTATTCCCCCCCCCCCCCCCCCCCCCCCCCCCCCCGCCCCACTGCCTTTACAATATGCTCTTTCTTGTTGGAGTCTTAAAGCTTGGAGGTTGCTCTCAGTTTCTGACATGTTACCAGCAAGCATGTTTTGATGAACTTGAATGCACTTCCTCCAAAATACAGTTTGCTTGATATACCACTACTGTGAGGCATTGATGTACAAGAGCCCAGGCAGCTCTAAACACACAGGCCTTGTATAGAGCTATGACTGTGGCAAAATAACAAGTAGTAGAAGAGAAATTATTGCAGAACTGTAGGCCCCTTTTGAGCGTTTTTGTTGAAACTGCGCTAGGATTTTAGCCTCCTGGAATGATATCCATTCATTCTAAAGAACAGTTCTGGATGGCAGACCTATTTTATAGATTCCCTGGTGGGCATAATGCTTTGAAAAGAACACTTTCCTAACAGTACCATAAGCTAGAGCCCAGCAATCAAGCGTCAGCATGTCCAGCTAAGATTCTTGAAAGGTAGGAGGTGATAGTGGGAAAGACCACCATCTGAGATCTGTGAGTGGTGCCCTGCCATGTTTATGTTCCATGTTTATCCTCTGTTTATTGCATGTAGCTGCTTCTACTGGCAGTGCATCATGTGCATTGGATGATGGGTGTTATTATGCTTTAACCAAGCTGGTGTTTTTTTGCATATTGAGACTGCTGGGAAATACCATGAGAACCAAGGGTTATTTATTTATTTCAAGCATTTGTACCCCGACCTTCTCTACCCTCAGAGGGTGAGAGTGTAAGGTAAAGGTAACATAAATGTTTTCCCTTGACATTAAGTCCAGCAGTGTCCGACTCTGGGGTATGGTGCTCATCTCCATTTCTAAGACGAAGAGCCGGCGTTGTCTGTAGATACCTCCAAGGTTATGTGGCTGGCATGACTACATGGAGTGCTGTTACCTTCTTGCCAGAGTGGTACCTATTGATCTACTCACATTTGCATGTTTTCGAACTGCTAGGTTGGCAGAAGCTGGGGCTGACAGTGGAAGCTCACGCCGCTCCCTGGATTTGAACCTGCGACCTTTCGGTCAACAAGCTCAGCAGCTCAGTGCTTTAACCCACTGAGCCACTGGGGGCTCCCAATGTGAGAGTGTAGTGCACCATAATTCTTGCCATTACATTTGATGGAAGTTACCACCTTACATCATTTTAAAGAGGAAAACAATGTTTAAGGGTGTACAATTTTCCCATGGGATTCATGTATGGGTGCAGGCAAAGGGTTGGATGGATTTAGAACTCATGGTGGATTGAGTTAAAAATGTGTAGAAGAGAATGCCAAGTGCACTATGGAAACAGCCAGCTCTGCTTGCTTTGGACAGTTTCTGAAGTCACATTGTCAAGGAAGTGAAGCAACTTTTCTGTGACAGTAAGACCCAGAGATAGTGCTGTCTTGCAGCCTTACTTACTTACTTACTTAGGCGATCCCTCGTTGGACGAGTAAGATGGTCTTCCATTATGGATTTCCTTGTGGTCCGTATGTGGCTGTGGAGCCCTATTCTTGCTCTGCATCTTCTTCCGCAGTGAGGGCATTGGTTTCCAGGTGGAAGGCGGTCCCGGTCGGGGTTGGCTTGACGCGCCTTCCTCCTGGCACGTTTCTCTCTTTCACCCTCCACTCGTGCCTCCTCGAATTCTGCAGCACTGCTGGTCACAGCTGTCCTCCAGCTGGAGCGCTCAAGGGCCAGGGCTTCCCAGTTCTCAGTGTCTATGCCAGAGTTTTTAAGGTTGGCTTTGAGCCCATCTTTAAATCTCTTTTCCTGTCCACCAACGTTCCGTTTTCCGTTCTTAAGTTCGGAGTAGAGCAACTGCTTTGGGAGACGGTGGTCAGGCATCCGGACAACGTGGCCGGCCCAGCGGAGTTGATGTTGGAGGACCATCGCTTCAATGCTGGTGGTCTTTGCTTCTTCCAGCACACTGACGTTTGTCCGCTGTCTTCCCAAGAGATTTGCAGGATTTTCCGGAGGCAGCGCTGATGGAATCGTTCCAGGAGTTGCATGTGACGTCTGTAGACAGTCCATGTCTCACAGGCATATAGCAGGGTTGGGAGGACAATAGCTTTATAAACAAGCACCTTGGTATCCCAACAGATGTCCCGGTCCTCAAACACTCTCTGCTTCATTCGGAAAAATGCTGCACTCGCAGAGCTCAGGCGGTGTTGTATTTCGGTGTCGATGTTGACTTTGTTGGAGAGGTGGCTGCCAAGGTATCGAATGTGACACCATTAAGCTGTATTACTGGCATTGGAGAGGGATTGGCTGGTGACTGCTGGAACAGCACCTTGGTTTTCTCAATGTTCAGTGACAGGCCGAGCTTCTCATATGCTTCTGCGAAGGTATTTAGAGTGGCTTGTAGATCTTCTTCTGAATGCGCACAGACGACATTGTCATCAGCATACTGGAGTTCTATAACAGCTGTTGTT